ACATTGAAGCCTGGATCTAAATATACAATTATGTAAGCTTTTTTTAATGATTTCTTTTCTGCACGGGTATAATTCAAGGCTTTACTGAAATACACAATGTGCATAGAAATAAAGTATACGTAGAGTCGTAGACTATCTTTATTGAAGAGACTGTCCTCATAACAGGGATTAGGTATGTAGAATTTCACAGATAATATACGGTGGATAAGGTTGTAAAGAAATTAAATTGTTTCGGTACCAAACATTTTGTTTGATATAGACTTCAATTATGAAAGGAGCATTAAAGTTGAAAGGTACTACTCACAAAGCTTAAACCACCGAAAGTAGTAGGTTGGACCAGCAATAGTGTAGTCCTTGCAATACTTTGCTAGAAATACTTGAGCATGTGAAGTAACAAAGAAAGCAGCCTTGATTTCACCTCTTTGGAATGCTGTATGATACTCATCAATCGATCGCGTAGGCCTAATGTTGTTAAGTTTAAAATGCAGAACATCAACTAAGTAAGGGCAAAGGAATGAATTCCAATTGCAACCAACAGCTGCATTTTCTCTTCTTAGTGTATCGACGTCTTTCACAGATGGTGGTAATTGGGAAACTGTCATTAGAGATGTAAGTGCTGCTGTGAAATATATAGTCAGCATCAATATTAGGAATTGCCATGGTGCTAGAACAATCTTGGACAAATTGCTCCTCGGCGATTCATCTACAAAAGTAATGGTACGGTGAGTGTCAATATGGTTTAGTTAAACATATAAAAGAGAGCTATCAAAAACTGGCCCGACCTTTAGAAAACCTTACCAAACCAAAACAAATCGGACTAGACTAGCTATTAGCATACAATTGCACATAGCGTTAAAATTTCAATTCAAACCAAGAAAACCCAACCTTGTTACAGCTATCCAAAACTCTGCTGCCGAACAGGGCCTACACAAAGTTAGATTGATGATCAAACTAAAACATGACCCGACCTGACCAACCAATTGATACATCATTAATAATTCAAGGATGCTTACTTCTTTGTGCAAATAATAGCAAACTGAAGGAGAACCAGAAAATTGTGCCAACTTGTTGGAAGAGTGATGAGTCTCCGAATTCTGGATCATCGACGTGTTCTATCAAACACACAACAAACCCCATAAAGAGGCCCATTAATGGAATGAGGATCCACATCTTCCTGTCAAAAACCTTCAAAAAACATCCACATCTCATTTGTGCTGTCATGTTTTACAGTGACAACCATAACCATACCAGACTTAGCATATGGCTGTGAGAAGTCTGCCCACTTGTATCTTTCTTCGAGTATGTTAATGTCCCCAACTGCTGCATCAAATCTCTTAACATACGCAACAGTCACTTAATTAGTACTGATACTGATCCATTCAAAAATTATATACGCGATTACATGGACAAACTTGTAAGTAATTTAACCGAAAACAGGACAATATTGCTGACAAGAATAACTGATGCAGAAAACTGGTATAGATGTTATATGGCTGACAAGATATGTATGAGACAGTGTTTAAGGTCTCGCGGTTGATGAGAAAAATTATGAACATATTTTTGTTAATTGTGTTAATATATTTTTGAATTAGAGTTACCTTCCGATGGATCTCGTGCACCAGTTCATCATATGTGCCATAAAAAGGAATCAAAGTAAAAGGCAGATCATAAGGTAGGTACTTCAGAGAGGCTCTGAACACATCAACAGCAAATCCTGTCATAAAAGTCTTGTTATGTACTTCGTCGAAGCTTACATTGACAAACGGATGAAATGCACCAGAAGCTGGTACACCAATCCTCAGGGGCTTCTGACTGATAACACCAGAACTGAACCCTCTTGAAACTGTCTGTTGGCTGCCTGGCCAATATATAGGACCTAATTTGACAAAATCGTTTTTTCTGCCACTTTGTGTTGGGGGTTTCGTCGAAAATCCATCTTCAGCAGACCAAAAGGCTAAATCGCGGTACCCATTTCCCACCACATTGATAATTTTGAAGGTTGGGAGTTGATCTATCATGCCATTTCTGAAGCTTATATTCCCACTCAAACCCACAAAGTTACTCATGTTAGAGTACAACTTACCTACTGAATCCTTTTTCGCCTTGCCAATTGCTAGTACTGCATCGTATGCCCTTAAAGCAAACAGACTAGGATATGGATTTCCTTGATCATTAGGATATTTTGTAAGATAACTTCTCTCAAATCTAATCTTGAATTTTTTGTATAACTTACTGGTATCAACAAAGCTGGTTTTATATCCAATGACACCTTGCATAGAAGCAATGACTGACGAATCAACAGAATCGAGTAAACTAGCAATTTCCTCTGATATTATCCAAACAAAACCTTTCTCTAGCATCCCCATCTGGTGTGCTTTTTGGAAAACACAAGTGGCTAGTTGAAGAGAAGATTGCAGAACTACAAAGACGCGATTTCTTCTTGTACTGAGCTTTCGGAACTCTTGCTCAATGGCAACTTCAGGGTCAAACAAGGAGTTTATAGGAGGGAAAGCCAAGTGTTGCTCTACAGTTGAATCAACTGACTTCAGTGAATCTGACAGAACAGAAATGATATCAGAATCCAGGGAGAAAGTGTTGCTTCTTTCATATATAACTGTCACTTTTCGCCACTGGAAATAGCTGACTATGGAGGTAAGGCATTGCATGTCAATCGATATATTGCTGCTCATTCGGATCAAATTGGATGATGGCATTGGTAGTGATGCAGTAAGAATAGAAGTTGGAGGCAAGAATATGACAGGAATGTCCAAGAAGTTCTTGTGAACTTCAGATAAGACAGCAGCTTCAGGCAGTGCAAATGTTCCAATGATTGCTTTAACTTTGTTTTTGTGCAGGAGTTTTAGTGCTGCAGGCATAGATAAATTAGACTAAGATAATCGACATCTTTATATAAAATCGAATGATAGACTAATAATACTACATACTCCAATTCTATCATTGCTCAAACTAAATAAAAACAGGCAGAAAGAGGCAGCTGAGGTATCCTGCCCTGGCTTCATCTCATCAAAGCAACTGAAAATGAAATGTTCCAAAAATTAATGTTTTAGCAGGACTACTGAACTGCTGTTCCCCGGCAACATGACACAACAGAAGTTACAAATATGAAGTTTCAAGAATTAAGACTATATATATATTTGTCTAGATATTGTCAGATTAAGACTGCTTTTTATTTGCACCTTCTTTGACAATAGTAGCCAAAGGGTCATTTGGATCAGGTTTAGTTCAGCTCGATTCAGTTGAGGTCATGTTCAGGGGAACTGGTCATATTCAGGTTTCATTGTCAAATAGCTTGTTATTGTGACAATCTAACCAATGAATCAATATTAGTCTATTCAGGTAGGTCATTTTTGCTACTTGTTAATGAGCTAATATTTAGAAGTCCCAGTTTATGAAAATATTGTTGCAGGACATACTTTGTAGGTTGGTAGAGTAGTGTAAAAATGCAGAGTTTGAAAATTTTTAGTAGTTAATGAAATTTATGTCTTTTGGCGATTGGGAAAACAATACAAAAGACACCCACTGCTTCCGGTTAACAGCCTCTTCGTATGTTAGACATTTGACAGCTTCTGAAATATGATTAACAGATTGTACCAAATGCACAAAGAAAACGATCTATGCTAGGGATAAGTATTTAGTTAGTAGTATTGAGCAGGAAATGTGTTAGTCATATAGAAACCCAAATACAGATCTTTTCTTGGAACGGAGCAGCAAAATCATACCAGTAGACGTGGCAGATTTAGAACTTTCAGAAGAATTTCTGAAATGCAGTGTCAGCTGTATGCAGCTGTCTCTATAAACATCTTGAACTGCAATCTTCATTGCTATTTCCTGTTCCTTTCCCACACGAGTGCTGCGATCAATTATTACACCAATGCTAACCGTGACATTCTTGTGTACTAAGCAGTTGTATCTTCCTTGATTTACACTGCTTGTGTAGCTTGGCATCAGAAGCAGAACTACTCCAAGTATGTATACAGCAGGAAGCATGATTAACTTATAACTTACAAAAGTTTGAAGTTAAGCCGGAAAAGGAACACCTATTATTTGCTCAAGAGGAAGTTGCCTTGGCTAATTCGTGCTAAAAATTTCGGACATTGCATAAATCATATTACAATTATAAGACATGTATAAGGGAAGATTCGAAAGTAAGGTCACTTTTAAGGTTGACATATTTTAAGCTATGCTACTGTAAGCCTTATTAAAGATCTCTCCTTGCTTATTTGACTGACATTGTTTATTTACAGGACATTTGTTCATCAACAAACTTACGGAATTTATTTAAAAAAAAATAAAAAATTACCTAATAGTTTGTGGAAAAAGCTACTTAATCTTACTTACGTAAGGACCCAATGATGAAATCATGTACAAACCGTTACTATTTCTTAATATGTCACTTCTATCTATCCAAATATACTAAAATAATATGTGACTATTGTTTTTAAATGGTTATCAGTGGAAGAATTAGGTGGTATTATCAACCAAGTAAAGTCCTTCAATTGTAATTGTCTATAAATCTTTCTACAATTTCTTATCAATGCTAATTATTGCTTGTCCCTAAACAAATCTGGTCAATATAACTGAAAATTAAACTAGTCGTGTTGATGTAACTGAAAGCTAACCACACATATTATAAGCTTTTCTCTAACTTATTAACCAGCCCACTTATGTCACTGATTGAAACATCAAGGGTCAATATCTACAAGCATTAATGTTCCTAAGCCCTACAATAATCTAACTTAAGACTACTTGCTTAATTATATATTGCTGAAATCCTACCGGAAATTTGATTCTTTTTCCTTGTATTAGAAGATTGGAATCTTATTTATATATCATTGTCATGGTTGAATGGTCTTAATCTACAAGGATACACAATCGCGGTAATAACAAGTATGATGGAGAACTGAGATTTTTCAGCATTCTTTACAAAATAAATTTATGCCGTCATTTGATTTGGAGGAATAATCAAGCAACATCTTAAGCTTAAAAAAGATCACTTGCTAGTCCATCTTGATCTTCCAAGTGGATATATAATCCTCCCTTAAACGGCTGTCAGGGCATGTTGTTTGTTTCATCTTATTTAACTTATTACATAAAAATATATTCCAGATAGAAATAAGGCCAGTAAAAAAAAAAGTTCAGAAAAAATTAAGTCCAGACATTAATTTTTCAGATAAAATAAGTTAGAATAATTAAGTTGTGTTTTTACAGTGTAACAGCTAATAATGTTTTGCATATGCTTATGAATTGGGATATGGCCTCAACCATGGCAATCTAAACCTGGTTCGGTGTCTCAACATCATTGACAACCATGAACATATTCTGCTTCTTAAAATTGCTTCCTTAACAACACTCAAAATTCGCGATTGCAGCTCTACTGAAGGAAATACAATGACTAGAAGTGCTACTGCTGCAACGCCACCAGAGATGCAAAACAGCCCGGAGAAAGGCTTAAGGCCTACAAATGTGGTGCTGTTGTTTATTGTTGATGTGGAGCACTTGCAACGGGTGAACATCTCATGCTCCAAACCTTCTATTTCTCCCTTTTCTGTTGCCTTCAGAATAGCCTGTGAAATGTCTGTAGACAATACAGAGCCCTTCCGGAATGCCTGAGATAACAAACAGTGGACCAACATGGAAAATAAGTAATGGACTTTGAGCTGCAAACTATGAAGAATTAAAACTACAACAACAACAACAAAAATAAACTTATAAAAGCCACTCACAAAGCCAAAACCACCGAAGTTGTAAGTTGGTCCTGCAAGAGTGTATCCCCTGCAGTACTTTGTCAGAAAAACTTTCGCGTGAAAGGTAACAAAGAAAGCAGCCTTGATCTCACCCCTTTCGAAAGCAGGAGGATATTCCTCAACAGCTCGCATTCGCTTAATGTTTTCTGGTTTAAATCGCAACACGTGAACTAAGTACGTACAGACAAAGGAGTTCCAATTACATCCAACAACTGCATTCTCTGCCCTCAGAGCCTCCACATCTTTCACAGACGGTAATAGTTGAGAAACTGTCATTAGGGAGGTAAGTGAAGCTTGGAAATATATCGTAAGCATCAATATTAGGAGATACCATGGTACAAGAACAATCTTGGATAAATTGCTCCTAGGCGATTCCTCTGCAAATTAAGGTAATGTTATTCATTAATAAAACAATGCAAATAATTAAAATGGTTACATATTGGCTTAGACCTCATTCTTTTCACCTGAAAAATCTTCATCTGAGCTTATTAAACCTTATTAAACTTAGTAAGTTGTCTCTGATAAGGTATGCTTACTTTGTGCAAAGAAAAGTAAGGTGAAGGAAAACCAGAAAACTGCCCCAAGTTGCTGGGATACCGAACCATCAGCAAATTCTGGATTTCTTCGACGTTCTACTAACCATACAACGAATCCTATGAAGAGGCCCATTGACAAGAAAAGAATCCACAATTTCTTTTCGAAGACCATTGCAAATATCCAGATATCCTTTGTCTTGTCTTCTTTGACTGTGACAACCATGTTCATTCCAGATTTCACAAAAGGTTGGGAGAAGTCAGCCCACCTGTATCTTTCATCTAGTATTAGAAAATCACCAACTGCAGCATCAAAGACCTATACACAGTCCAACAAAAATTCAATTTTCACTGTTAAATTCATATCAATCTCCTAATCCTTCAACCTTCACATCAAAAATGCATTCGATAGACAATCTAGTTGCGCAGTAGTTGATACAGAAAAGGTTTAGGACTACAGTTAAATATGCACATCTTACAGGTGAGGCAACACTAACAAGGACTCGAAAGCAAGAAAGAAACAATAGACATTTGTGCAAATAGATGAAGTAAAAGTAAATTGATGCTTACCCTCTGATGGATTTGATGCACCAGATCATCATATCTGCCATAATATGGAACCAACTTGAAAGGAAGATCATAAGGAAGGTACTTAAGAGAAGTATTAAATACGTCGATGACAAATCCTGTGATGGATGTCTGGTCAGGTGCCACAATGCTTACATTGACCAAATGAAAAGCACCAGAAGCAGGAACACCTATTATCAGCGGCTTTTCACTGGTAGCACCAATATTCCAACCTCTCGGAACTTCCTGCAGACCGCCTGGCCAGTAAATAGGGCCTAATTCAACAAGCATGTCATGATTTTGGCCATAATTTCTGGTTTCCTTTCTACCAGTTTTTGAAGATTGTTTCTTAAAGAATCCAAACTCAGAGGACCAAAAGGCTAATTCCCTGTAGCTTTTTCCGACCACATTGATAATTTGGAAGGTCGGTATATCTTTTAGCTCGCCGTTTCTAAAGCTTACATTCCCACTCAAACCTTCAAAGTTACTCAACAAGAGGTTGGGGAACAACTCTGTAGAGTTAGACTTTATTGCTGCATTTTTACTTTTAGTAATCGCGTGTAACATGTCATATGCCCTCAAAGCAAACAAAGTTGGATTTGGATTTCCTTGATCATAAGGAAATTTAGCAATATAACTTTGCTTGAATTTGACCTCAAACTCTTTGTAGGATTTACTGCTGTCAAAAATATTGGTTTTGTATCCAAGGACTCCTTGCATAGAAGAAATGACTGATGAGTCGACAGAATCAAGTAAACTTGCAATCTCATCTGATATTATCCAAACAAACCCTTTTTCTACCATCCCCATCTCATTCGCCTTTTGGAAAAGACGCGTGGCTAGTTCAAGAGAAGAATGCAGAAGTACAAAGACATGGTTACCCCCTCTTTTGAGATTGTAAAGCTCTTTTTCAATGACTACATCAGGTTCTGACAAGGTACTTACAGAAGGGAAGGCTATATGCTGCTCTATGATTGCATCAACCGACCTTAGTGAATCAGATAGAGCAGCAAAATACGCAGAATCCATGGGAAAAATATTGCTTTTTTCGTATATAACTGTCACTCTTCTCCATCGAAAATGACCAACTATAGCAGAAAGGCATTGCATATGAACAGAGAAATGATGGGACATTTGGAGCAAATTAGATGGCAGTGGCACTAAAGGTGAAGACATTGCAGTTGGAGTTAAGAGAAAAATAGGAACTCCCAGTAAATTCTTATGAAATTCTGATAAGAATACCGCTTCTGTTAATGAAAACGTTCCGATTAAGACTTCAACTTTCTTACTGTACATAAGCTTGGATGCTGCAGGCACAGACATATTAACAAATACTTGTAAAAAATTTGCATGAACAAATGGGATACAAAAGTGGTATACTTATCATCATTGCAGAAAACATATAAATAAAAACTGTTTACTTTTGGAAAAGAGGGGATATATTCTTACCAATGTTAGTGGCATGTACCAAGCCTTCAGGAAAATCTCGAACATGCAGAGTAACAGGACTGCAGCTGTTTCTGTAAATATCGCGAACTGCAATCTTCATAGCTATTTTCTGCTCCTTTCCCACACGAGTATTGCCGTTGATAACTACACCAATGCTGGTGACAGCATTTCTGTGCATTGAACGATTGTATCGTCTTAGACTAGCACCGTCTTTCATGCTTGGCATCAGCAGCAACACTACTAATATATAGAATACAGAAGGCATAGTTATGTAACTTTTAAAAAGTCTTCTTGTAAATGAGCGATCAAATTAAATTCCTAGACTAATTATGTCTATTAATCATATATATATTCAGACATCTATATGTATACGGTTGCATGGCACATGCAGTATCAAATTAAAGGTTTTGTTATTATAATTTCACTTCAAATTTACATCTATAAAATCTGTTAAGGGAATTTGAAGTGAAATTATAATAACAAAAACTTTGACTTTGACTTATTCAGACATCCTTAATTAATCCCAATGTTTAAGTTCCAATTTTTCTGATTTGATTTTATTATTCCCCTGCAACAAGTAAAACACTTGTTATGTACAACAGTTCTTACTTCTTAGTAAAAACTTACTTGGATGTAGATTAAGCTAAACAGCAGAGTCTATATTACGCTGCTTATAAATTAGAAATATTGACTATTCTTTCTTTTACCGAACCTTCTAAGTATATGTAGTAACCTATGTTACTCAAGTTCAACTGTCATACCAATATCAAGTCTTTGACTTTGAGACACTACACATGAGGTGGCGGGGTAGTCCTTTTGGGGGAAATGAAAAGTCGGAGTAAGGACCTATTCAATTCACCTTACAAAAATACTACGTAATATACAATAAAAATAAATTCACTGTAAAAATCAGTAACATTAAAGAAGAAATATAATAGAGAATCAGTAAAAAATAAAAATCAATTCAAAAAAAAATTCAGTCTAGCAAAACAAGGTGAAGTAAATAGGGCCTAACATAGGTAGCGACTTATTAGAGCAGTTAATGATAAATTATGTCATTTTCAACGAAATTCAAACCAGTATGCTGAACTTGCGACTGGGATATGACTCAGCTTATGCAAATTCTACAATTGATCAGCATATTCATATAATAAAATAAAATAAGGAAACACTCAATAGATAATGAGAGGTTTATCTTACTGGCTAGTTACTAATTGCATTATGTCAAGTTGTCAGCATAGAATAATCATCTCACACATGTAATTATAATAACAAGTCAATATGTGTAAATAATTGTATTATTATGCATTGTAATCAACTAATCAACTTATAATAATCTGAACTTGTTGACTGAGTTATTTTTTACATAAGTTAAGTACTTGTAATTTTATAAAATTTAGTCTAAGTAGTCTGATCTTAAACTTTTGGGGCCCTTAGAAGAATGTCAAGAACCACATAAGATTTTGCTCGTCACCATTTATCAACAACCAAAGCGCTGAAATTCATTGGTATTTTTAGTCCAATCTACCTATTGTATGCATTTCTTCTAGAGGAAGTCATAGTTGATCTCGAGGTTCAACATAATACTTCAGTTGCAAATTTTAAGAGGAATCCTTACGAAAATTCCCTAGCTACGGAGTATTGGTGAGCAGTCAGAGGAAAATCTAACCACATATAAGTCCCGCAAGGCTCCATACTAATTAAATCAATTACTGTATATGTGAAGTAGCCCATCAAACTTATATGTTAGTCATTCTCCCTCTTATAATAGTCTTAATTCACGTGTGGATTATTATACCTTTAGCAATCGACACGATAGTAGGGGTACATAATGATTCCCGTGTAGTCGAGGGGCTTATGGTAGTCGAGATCAACAGAAAAATCAGTACATCCCCATCATCAACCTATTAGTCCTCTTTCTCCTACAGAAAAGTCAAGTCTTTTTTCTTTCCTTACAAGTATAATTTCGAAGAATTTTGAATATTGCCAATGAAACAAGGACCACCAGCAAATAAACAAAAAAAAGGACCATTTCTTTAGATAAAAACACTAGCATTGTCAAATGTCAATCTCCCAAAAAATACTTCATTTCGTATTAATTAATTTTGAAATTTGATGAACTTCAAGAAAAATTCATACGATTAATTACATTTACAAGTATGTACATTGTACACATTAGCAACATGACTATTAAAAGTTCGAACTTGAATTAGGAGAAGCTACCTTGTAATTGTGCTGGGAAATTAAGACACTACATACAATAATAATTAATATAAGTATATATTACCATGTTAAGACTATGATAGGAAAATAGAGGAAATTTGACTTTGTCTAATTCAAACTTCATTTATAGTATATAGTAATGTACTCGATCTGCCATAATTAAAAAGTTACTCCCTCCGTTTCATAATGTTAGTCTCATTTACGTATATCGATGCAATTCTTTGATTGCAAATATCTTTAGTCTCACACAAAAAAAATTATAAAAATTAGATATTAATAATATACTCATAGAGACGAATAAAACTAGATCTCATTTGAATATGTTTAGTCTTACATATATAGAGAAATTTAAAAGATTCCCTCTTATTTTTAACTAGGTTAAATCCCGTGCCATGCACGGTCATAATTACAGTTTCCAACAAATAAATTATAAATAATGATGTTAATTCAACTAACAATAATTTATCCAAAAATAATATTTGTTACAAACTAACTTGAATTTTAATTTATACTAATACCAAATACGTAAAGGTTATTGAATTGGATTGTATAAAATAGTAATAGAAATTACAAGCTATAAGGTTTTATATATAAATGAATGAAAATATTAGTTTAGGTTAGTACCCATATACAAACTCATATACATTTGCCCTTATATTTTGCTGACACACTTTGACCACATAATATGCAATTTTAGTTGGAATTTATTATACTTTAGGATAATTAGTATTCCGTAATCAACTTTTTTAAATATATTTTTAGTGAGTAGTAGGGGTTTTTAATTTTATTTTTTTAAATAATCACATAAATTTTTATAGTAATTAGATTGAATTTTCCAATATATATGATTTTGTTTGGTTGTTCTTATAAAAGGTTTATATAATTTTAAGATTTACACAAAGTATGCTACCAAAATGATTTTTCTTTTTTAATTAAAATAAATTTTATTGTCAAATGATAAAAGTTGAAAAAAAAAATTGATAATATTATAATATCTTGGATAATAATATATTACAATATCTTATTTTTAATCTATGTTAGTATTTTTGTAACTAAAAGTTTCCTAATATATACAGTAGAATATATGCAAAAAAAATTAATTGAGTATGATTGGATTAAATACGTTGTCAAAATAGAAATAAGTATTATTGTAGGTTATAAAATGGATGTCATTAAAATTTGCCAAAAAAAAAAAAAAAAAGAAAGAAAGAAAAAGGAAAGAAAACAAAGGCGGAAAATTTTTTAACTAGAAAATGACAAGTGTCATTTCTGGTTTCACCTTTAGTATAAAGTTATTGATACTCAAAAGTTAATATATACCTTATAGCTTCTAATCTATTACTGTTGTTTACTTACATTAATGTGATTTTATGAGTATATATAATACATGAGTAAACAATAGAATGCGAGTGGTTACATCTGAGTATTTGATAGACTAGGTACATTAGCTACGAGTTAGGGATATCTTTGACTATCAAACCTAAATGAGTAAATTAAGGAATTACACAAACTATAAACAGTAAATAATAATGATGATAAAGCAAGCAAATTTCCTTTAGCATTTTAGCTGCCTAAGAAGGTATTCAAAAAATCATACATTGGAACAATTCTAATACTATACAATCCCACTTAACTATAGTTTTTTCTTATGTCTAATTCACCCATAGGTCAAAGTAAAGTGTGTGAATAGTGTAAGCGAAACCAATAATTCATTATCACCCCCTACATGCACAAAATGATAACACAATCATACAAAGTGTTTGATAAGCACTAGTGCAGTGTGCTTTCCTAAGCACAAGCAGCATAACAACCAAGTGCCAATAACTAGAGAACAGTCATCATCAAGTATGCCAAGAATCTTGTCCGATATCAATTGTCACATAAATCAAGATCAATTAGTTAGCAAACACACATCAATCAATTAATTTAAGCATTAAATTGCTAAAATTGTGTAGCCGTTGGGAATATTTGAAGTTTCTTGTAAATCAATCAATAACCCAAAGCCCTCTCCATTAACATTACCTCTCCACCAATTTTGATCTTTGTTGTGACTTGTGATTATATAGAGTTTCAACTCAATGGTTTGGTGTGGTTGGCCCCAAACCTAGAGTTGATCACCACTGGCCTGACCCATTGGCTCAATCTTGTTCTAAAAGATGGCCTCAGCTAACCCAATTTATCATCCCTATGATCCGACCTAAACCTAATTAACTTAGTTTTAGCAATTGTCTTTGTATTGAAATTTTTGGGCCTTTTGTGGTTGTTTTGCTTGCCTCTTAAGCCCATGACAACAAAGGTTATAGCCTTTATGAAAGCTTAATTTTGCCTAATAAGGCACGATCCTGGTGTGTCTAACTCAACACACCAAATTACGTTACACTATTCTATCTCAAATTTAAAATGAAAAAAAAAAAAAAAGTTTATCTCCTTGGTAAACAAAATATGTTTATCAAGTGGCAAAATTATAAATAAATCAATAGCTTTTTATTAACAATGGGTCCATAATTGTTAATTTATTTACAAATATGTCATATTGACTATGCCAAATTGTTGATTTATTTACAATTTTGTCACTTGAGATAATTGGGGCTATCTCATTTTAAATACTCTAAAAATTAAACATTTATTAGATTCAATAAGGTGTTGTCCATCTTCATTTATTTATTTGAACCAAATCCACCCGATATGATATTAAATTGATGCATAGTTTAAATGAACTTGACTTCAAATGCCACAATCCTTTACCGGAGAAATTAAATGATTATGTTTTTAAGATGTATTTTATCATTTATAAAGCTAGTTGTGGATTGTGTTGCGTACGCAACCTAATAAGATTTTAGACCATACCAAACAAGCAAAATAATCATCTTCTATGAACTACACACAAAATAAAAGGTCGGACACAACACAACCAGTGGCGGACCCAGGAATTTCCGACTGGTGAGTCACAATCGATAATCAAATATGTAAAATAAAATTTCACAATGACATGTAAGGAGACATTTACTTCCTAAACTTGAAAATAAACAACACGATTGGAGACCAAATTAACTACAACGGATGTAGCCTAAATACATATCAGTCCGCAACATGTTTTACAGGATGATCAATAATTTTGAAGCAATGCCTCAAGGCGTAAAAGCAATCCTTTTTTGGCACTTCAATATGATTCAAGCATATGATCAAGAATAAACACGAATAACAATTGATTCACAATACAAGTATACAATATTCCCAGCATGAAATAGACTCAAGAATTACAGAAATTGCCCAAATTAAAACCAAAATTACAGAGACTCACCCATATCCAGGCAAATTAACAATATACCAACTCTTGTTGATTAGAAAATGATTGATAAGCTGAGTCTTCCCTGCATATAAATTCAACAACCTAATCAAACACAAAGTTAACAAAACAAATGAAATCACAAGTATGAATCATATGCAAATAACTCCAACAGCGAATTACCCCTATTCATAATTGGTTGGACGGTTCATATTCAACTAAATCAAGCAATATTCAACTAAATCAAGCAATATTCCCCAGAAACAAAAGCACAATTCCAGATAGCTAAGCGACATCATGAACTCATAAAGCCCGGTAAGAAGTATATACAAAAAAAAGTACATGCCAGAAACAAAAGAGATACCTTCACAAATCTCCTAACCCCAACAGAACAAGCAACTCTACAACAGCAGACCCACAAGCAATGCAATCAGCAAGCCTGTAACCTGGAAAAAACACAAATTTAAACCGGGGACAAATAAACTCCAAAAACAGTGGAAATAGAAGTTGTTCTCTTAAAATACAATTAGGCAAAGCATACAGCTAATATGTAACAGATCAATTTAGAACAAATAATCAATAAGCTCTTGGAATCTATACGCCATAATCAAAGTAGAGGCAAAACAACTATCACCCACACAAACAATCTAGATCAAATTACGGGTAAACTGTCTAAATTTATTAATAATAATTTCATAAATTCAAAGTCCTATTTGTCAGGGATTCAAAATTTGTAGTCCAAATTACATCTGCGAGATCATAAAGAAACCAAAATGTAATGAAACCACCTCTCAAAAGAATACCTATGCACAGGCAACTCAGATAGCTCAAATATCCGGTCACAACTTCAGTTTCTAGAGGAAAAATTCCCAAATCGGCTAATTAAAACCAATCTTCAGTTTCTAATCGGCTAATCATATTAAAATAAATCATTTGGGACTTAAAAATTACAATGAAGACAATTAGACAAAACTATAACTAAACACAGTCAAAAGACTCAAAACCAATCTTCAATTTCTACTTTTTTAGACGAAATTGTTTAGTTTAAGCAAACAAAATGATTATACAGATAGCTCATAGCAAGTACTTTATTTGAGCACAAATTCCACATAAATTAAGCTAATTAAACTTCAAAACAATCCTTATTCACACAAAAATCAGCTAATCTTGACTACCCATTAGTAGATAACAAAACCCCTTCAACTTTCCGAGCAAAAACTGGCACAAAACACAAATTTAAACAAAAATGACATAATTAAATCAAATACAGAAAACCTACATCAAAAATCCCCAAATCGTAAATTAAATTAGGCAATTAGCAAATGAAAAACACACATGAAGCCAAACACATTCAAAATTCTAGCTACTTTGCATATCTATATGCACAAATCGAACCTCACCATCGCTGCTCTCCACCACCACCAACAGTTACAAATCGAAACCCTAGAAATCGAAAAAAATCAAAGATTTGAACTAGTAATTATGCAAAGAAAGGGGAAAGTTTAAAGAAGCTCATACCATGAACACCAAAAAAAATCCTAGAAATCAAACCACACAGTCGTTATCTCTCACGACCACCATGACCATTAGTGAATGAGGAGGGAGAATGAAAGGGGAACGCGAAATGTTGTTGCAGCTGCGGCGAGGAGAAGGTGAAAGGGGAACAGGCTGAAGTTAGAATTTTTTATTTTTTATTTTTATTTTATTTTTTTTTAAAAAAAAAGAAAACTTAGAATTTTTTTTGGGCCCTGGTGAGTCACTTGACCCACCAGGCACAAGCCCAGGTCCGCCACTGAACACAACACACGATAAATGGTTTGCATACCAGCTTACTTAATTTTATAAACCCCAAAAAAGCCAAACAAGAACATAGGCGCCTGGGGCAATGCTTCCCATGTTGTATATTTTATATCCATCACAACATTAAATATAATCTTATAATTAATCAACATAATTAAACCTCTAAATTATACTCAAATCAAAATTAAGCCAAATAAATAAATAAATAAATAAAATAAATAAAAAGCTCCAATAAGAAGCAAAAAACAACACTTGATTACACAGGCTTTGGGTTTGGCCCCTCCTCTTGATTCGGTTCTCGATGTTAACCCCATTTTTCCTGAATTTTACAAACACCCACCAAAAAACTCACACAACACTCTCTCTTTACATTCTCTCTCCTCTCTTTCTCTCTCTTCTTTCTCTCTCTTCATCACCTTCTTCCTTTCCACTAACAATGTCTAACAGCTCTAAACTCTAAAGGGTCTTCTTTATATTTTTTTTCCCCTTTTTTTCTGTATATTTTTATTAATTTTACGGCATGGAAGCGAATCTTAAAGGTGAATTTTTTTTTGGTGTTTTTACGCTTTTTTTTTCATCTTATGTTTTTTTGGGTTAATTTTGATAATCTGGATGTGGTTTTCGTCGCTTTATTATGTTTTTTGACAATGTATGTTAAATTGGTGATGAAATAATTCTGGGTTTGTTGATTTTTGCGCCTTTTTTTGTGGGTGTTTTTTTTTTTTTTTTTTTTGGGGGGGAATGAATGTGTAGTTTGTGTTTTGTGGGGTTTGTTTGCTGTTTATGGTGGTTAAATGCATGTAAATGGTGTTTATGAGTGTTGGTTTTTGGATTATTATAATTGTATGTTTTTTATAATGCAGAATGTTGACAGTTCCAAAAGAAATAAAAATTGATAGCATAAAATGGTGATGTGAGAAGGAAAAGGGTGATGATTTTTTGAGTAGATTATAAAAGGATAATAATGGAAGGGAGAGTGTGTTACTATTGATTTATCATGCTTTGCTGTTTGATTGTTGCTGTATTATGTAGCTTTGTATGGTAATAGAATTTCTTGTCGATTTTCGGGACTGTTGATCTTTAATCATGAATTGGAGCGCGCTTATGCGAGAGGAATGATTCTATGGTGTAAAAGTGCCTCAATTATGCATGTACTTTTAAGAGAAAAGATAGAATATGGTGTAATTGGGTGAGAAAAGCAAAGATGGCTCCCATGATAAAGACAGTTTTGTCCTGTTAAGTTTGAAATTATTTGTAAGTTGTTGGCTAATTTCGTTTGGATGAGCTCTTATTCAGCTAGGTAACGGCCGGGATTTGATGTAGAATGAAGGGAAAAAATTCAAGCTTAACAAAATATGTAGTGAACTGTTTATGAAGTAATAGATTATTATCAGGATGACAGGAGACTTTTTAGTTCTGGCATTTGTCTAGGCATGTAGTTGAAGTTTCTGAAACAAGTTTCTTGGGAAAATTTGCTCTGTCTAAGTTGTACTCGAAAATTTGCAAAGGAGAGTACTCCGTTCTTCATAGGCAGTATTTATGAAGCCGCTATGTCAGTGAATTGGACTTGTATTACACAATGTGCCTTAAAATTCTGCTCAATTTCTGATCATGGTGTCACTCTTTCACCACCCTCCAGGACTCAAAGCCTTTTCCTTAGATTATGTTCCATTTAGGAAACAATTGAAGGTAAACTGGAAGGGCGGTCAGTCAACGATTAGGCTTTCATCAGTCATGTAGTGAATGATTACATACTTCAAATGTCTTATTTGGTCAAATATTAGTGATAATAATATCATTATATAGTATAATTAATATGCTAGCAGTCTAGGACTACACTTTTAGTGTTTTTTCTGGATTTGATCGGTCAAGACTAAAGGTAAATTTTGCAGCTCAAGTGGTACTGTGGTACTAGGTATCCAAAAGTTGTCAATATTCTTAAGATCACATTTGAATCACCTCTTTACTTGCTGGAGAAAAATTAGGAGAATACTGATCTTGTGAAACTAGCTTTGCTGGAAGCATCCATGGCAGATTGGAAGCAATTTATAATTGAACTATGTATGCCCAAATTGGTACTACTAAAACTGCATGAGAATCTGATTGCTACTCCTCGGCTAAGCATACCATGTTTGAAAGTTTAAGAGAGGTTCCTGTTTACTGCCCATCTTAGAGAGGGTTTTGTGGTGGGGGTGGGGGGGGGGGTGCTGAATATGTTGGTCTTGTTGGATTGCTATGTTAAGCATTCACCACTTTACTTTTTCTGAACAGGTTTAGTCCTTGACCCTGCAAAATGTGGCGGTCTTCCTTTGGAAGAAAAGAGGGAGCTAGTTCGTGAAATTGCTCAGTGTTCAGAAGATGCACCAGAGATTCTTAGTTCTTTTAGCCGCAAAGAGCTTTTGGAAATTATCTGTGCTGAAATGGGTAAAGAAAGAAAATACAGTGGGTTTACCAAGCTTAGAATGATACAGCACCTTCTAAATTTAATGTCTAAAAATATGAAGAGGAAAAACACTGATAATGATCTTGATTTATCTCTGGCCAAAAGTCCTAATGGAGCTAAGAAGCAGAGAAATAATGAAAGCCCTGCACAACTACCCACCAACCAGGAATATGTGCAAGGTATAGGTTTAAACAAGAGTGAAGTAAAAACCTTATTATGTGAAAATCTAGCCTGCAGAGCTACTCTTAGTCAAAATGACGGTTTCTGCAAGAGGTGTTCTTGTTGTGTCTGTCATCGTTATGATGATAATAAGGATCCAAGTCTTTGGTTGACCTGTGACTCTGATCCGCCTAATGAGGGTGATTCATGCGGGATGTCTTGTCATATAAAATGTGCGCTAAAGCATGAAAGAAGTGGCATACTGAAGAATTGTAAGCGTGGAAAAGTTGATGGGAGATTCTATTGTGTTTCTTGCGGAAAAATCAATGACCTTATGAGGTAAGAGCCCACTGAAAATTCCACTATACTGTACAGGTTTCAGGTGCTTTTGGATCTTGAAGTTGGAATTACATCAAGATGCAAGATTATGCAAGCATAACATAGGAAAGTAAAGATTAACAAATTTTGTCCTATATGAATTTTATTCATCTACCTTGGTGATCTTATTTAGCGTTTTGCAAACACTTCTTATTATATGGCTTGCATGTGGTGGCAAAATCTTTTCTTTCTCTATTCTATTGATTTGTGAAACATCTAATGTTAAGATATTTATTACTGTAAAAGATCTTTATGTCTTCATGTGTGCAATAGTATGTTGCATGAGTGCTTGAAAGCTGCTCAGCTGAAGCCTCCCTTCATGTTCTTGATTTTGGGCCTTTTGTGAAGAGTTCTCGTTTATTATTAATTTGACCTATATAAGTACTCCCTCTGTTTCGCATTAGTTGCAACAGTAGGCTTGGTTCATAGTTTAAGAAAATTTTAAACTAGGCTTATAGGCTTATAATATGAAGTATTGTTAGTAAGAGATAGAAATAATAAAAAAGAAAAGTAGTGTGGGTGGGGTTGGTAGAAAAGAGAAATTATAAAATATTTGTGAAAGTGGGGTTAGTGGGAGAGAGAAATTATAAAATAATGGTGGGTCATTTCCAAATATAGTAGTGTTGCAATTAATATGAAACGGCCGAAAATGGAAAGTGTTGCAACTAATGTGAAACGGGAGGAGTAATATAATACATTGACCTTTTCTTGTATATGGTATCCATGCATAATTATCTTTTGTATCTCATTGAGAGCTTAGAGAGAGAGAGAGAGAGAGAGAGAGAGAGAGAGAGGTGTCCATATTTACATGAATCAATTGCCCCTCCTACTCCAAAAATGACGTGTTTCTATACTTTAGTATGGAGTATTTTCTACTTCTGTTGATTTATGTTGCTTGCTGTAAGATGTAGTGGCATGCCACATTATGTGAACAGAAGCTACTGGGTGGTAAAATAAATTTTAATTAAGCATTGTGCATTTAGGAATAAGGTAACTAGTACATTCTCAGTATGTACCTGGAGAACATGAAACACTTGCAGCTTTTTTAATTCTGCATCACTTACTGAATGTATATTATGCACACAGCAATGTTACTAGTAATTGATAAAGTTATGTTGTTGATTTTTGTTTGTGTTAAATGTCAATGACATCCAGTACATGGAGAAAGCAGCTGTTGGTTATCAAGGAGGCTAGACGTGTTGATGTACTATGTTTGCGAATCTCCTTGTGTCACAAGATCCTTGATGGAACTGAGCGATATAAGGATCTACATAAGCATGTAGATACTGCTGCAAAGAAACTTAAGAAGGAACTTGGGCCTCTTGATCGTGTATGTGAAAAAATGGGCCGAGGAATAGTTAACAGGCTTGCTTGTGGGGCTGAGGTTCAGAAGCTATGCGCCTCTGCTCTGGATGCTTTTGATGCCTTGTCAAACCAACCATATAAAACCGCTGTGAATCAAAAAAACACTCCGAGTAAGTCCTAAAAGGAAATTTTAAGTTAAATGTTATTTGTATTGTCCCAGATAGAAATATGTTTTAAGAACTTTGTGTTATTTTACAAAGCAATGTTTGTGTAAAACCACTATAACTAAACATATAGTCTCACCCCAAATAAAAGGTGAGCTAAACTTTTCACTCAGAAAACTAGTCACAGCAGTATTTCAAAAAAAAAATTAAAAAAAATTCATGCACGATAGTTATGTCTCAAAGCTCTTTCAATTTAAAAAATATATGTAAAAACTTACAAAGATTTGGCTTCTTTTTTTACTGAAATGATTTGAAGTGCTTAAGATTGAGTGATTCACCGGAACCCTGTAGAGTTGTTTTACTATTACCAAGAGAAAGCACATTGTCAGTTTTCATGTATTCATCCTCTTCATCCTTGACCTTTTTATGTATTTATTTGCTAATCCATCTTGTTTCATACAGCATGTCACATACGCTTTGAAGAATTTTTCCCAACATCAGTAGTCATTGTATTGGACTATGATAATAGACTTCTGGAAGAGTTTTTGGGATGTCGGATATGGCATCGAAAGTCTAACTTGAAGGCTTACCCAGAAAAGCCCTCCTGTATTGTTCTTAGGCCGGAGAAGAAATTCCAGATTTGTGACCTTCAACCATGCACAGAATATGTATGTAGGGTTTCTCTGTTCAGTGGCACAGGTGTTTTTGGGACTTGGGAAGCAAAATGGGTAACTCCTCAATCAATTGGAACGTGTGCTCTAGTTTCCGATGAACATGATGGAATAATCGATGAGACCCCAAGGAATTTTTTCCAAGCCTTTTCTGAATGCAACAATGCCAACAAATCAGCTACAGTTGATCAGACTGCAAAACTTCGATCCCTCACTGACATCAATGCCACTCATATAGTGAACTTAGGATCAATCCCCACCACACCGTCAAAAATAGACACAAGGCTAGATTTAGTTGGCGCTAGTGCCAAGATGCTTGAAGAACTGAATAGAAACTATGAATTCTGTGTTAGAGTGGTCAAGAGTTTGGAACAAGATGGGCACTTGAGCATAGATTTCAGGGTGAAATTTCTCACTTGGTATAGCTTGAAAGCCACGGTGCAGGAGAGAAGAGTTGTCAGCGCATTTGTGGATACTATGTTAGATGACCCGCCATGCTTGGCTGAGCAACTAGTTGATGCCTTCGCTGATATAATTTGCAGTGAAAAATCCACTTCCACAGCATACATTCAGCCTTGAAATTACAATCCTTTTTTCTCTATTCTATTCAACCAGAAAGAAAGAAAGAAAGAAAAAAAAAAAAAAAAAAACACTTATTTTAGGGTCTTATAGGCAGGAAGATTGCTTTGTTAGTGTTTTGCTTTTGTCTAGAATCCAGATTGGCATTGATATTGGTATATGAGCAGAGATTTTAGATTCTGTTTTTCAGCAAAAGGCTTGTTAGCATCAAGTGGATATGATGAATATTCTAAATAGTGTATAGTTTGGAGGAATGCATTATTCCTTTTTTCAGGCTTTTCCACTGTCAATGTATTTGGTGCCCTGTTTTGAACTTTTCTGATGCACTTTATTTTAAATAAGTACATCACCTTTGTCCTATTGTCCATAACAAGTACATTAATGTAATTCTACCCAAAAAGAAAAGAAAAAAACGTAATCATTACAAATATACTACTTTTTTCAATTTATATTGACATAATTCTACAATTTATATTAAAAATTCGACTCATAATAAAATTATATTGACATAATTTTACAATTTATATTAAATAGCTACTCGTATTAAAATGAAAAATCATGTAGACTTGTTGAATTTGTCTCAATGAAAACTTTTAAAATATTAACTTATAAATTTAAATATTTTCAAGCACATTGGAGACCTAACACAAGTCAAGTGAATGGAACTTTCATACATAATTTTAGATTGGTGTAGCAGACTTATCGCCATTGTTGCCAGCACCAGCAAGCACAATGGATTAAGAATTTGAGGAGCAAGTAGCTAACTAGAAGTCTAGAACAGAAACGAACCTACAGTTCTTACCTACTTGAATCAAAGGACTCAAAATTAAGAAAGATGGTAATTGTTAAACAGAGAGGGGAAATGAATTCATTTCTTTCCTTTTGCTTCCTTTTCCCAGCCTCTTATCCGAATAAGGGAACTTGTTACAGCCCATGATCTAGGCAAATGAACAAAAAACGATGGGTATCTTTACCTATGATTTGCATATCTATGGTAGTCACGGTGAAAATAAATAAATTAATTAACGACGAATATGGAGCACTATCATAAAGATGTATCTTAGATCAGTGGAAACTAGGGAACAAAAATAAGTACACATTTTAATCATTCACTCATTTACTCATCAATGAGATCAGAACCATGTTTCAAAAAAAAAATGAGATCAGAACCATCATCGAGAAGTGAATTGCTAAACATCGCCCACAAATCTCCACATAAAGCCCACAAACCTATATTGAATTTACCTTATTGCCCTGGACCTAAAAAAAAATCTAACCCATACCCACACTTTAATCACCCAAAAATACGGCAATGTCGAGGCGGCAAGGCAAGGATTTGGCGACGACAGCGGCGGAGGGGAGGACGGCTCACGGTGGCAAGGTTTTTTTTAAAAAAAAAAATTAAAAAAAAAACAGAAGTGGTGGGGCGCCTGGCCAGGACGCCCAGCCCCTGTTGGTGGCGTCTGCTCCGGCCGCCAGAACCAGGGGGCTGGCGTCTGACCTGGACGCCTAGCCACGGTTGTGGCGTTTTCTAGAGGCGCCACCGTCGTGGCTGGGCGTTCAGGTCAGAAGCCAGCCCCCTAGTTCCGGCGGCCGGAGCAGACGCCACCACCAGGGGCAGGGCGTCTTGGCCAAGCGCCCCACCACGTCCGATTTTTTTTTTTTTTTGTCTAATATATTTTTTTTTTGGAAAATCAGAATTCTTTTGTTAATGTTTAATATTTTTGTTTTATGTGTTAATTTGTTTAATGTGTTAATTAATTTTATTTGTTAATGTTTTTATTTCTAATATATATATATATATATATATATATATATATATATATATATATATATAAATCAGAATTTTTTGCCATATTATTTTTAAATACATATAATTATATAAAGATTAAATTAATACATTTAACACAAAATTAACATTTAACAAAAATTAACATAAGTAATTTCTAAAAAATTTATTTGTAAATTTCATTTCTATATATAATTTACAAATACAAAATTAAATATAATTTTATTAACACATATTTAAAACTAAACATAATTTTATTAACACATAATTTTTTTTTGAATTACACATATTTAATTTCAAATTTATCAAAGTTAAAAAACCACAAAAAAAAATATATATATAAATAAAATTAAATTTTTTTTACAAAAAGTAGGGGTTGCTTTTAGCCAGGAAGCCGTCACCATGGCGGTGGCTTCTGGCTAGGACGCCGCCACCATGGCGGTGGCGTCTGGCCAGTGGTGGCTTCTAGCCAGGACACCGCAACCATGGCGGTGGCGCCTGGTCAGGACGCCATAGCCATGGTGGCGGCTTCCTGGCTAGAAGCCACCCATACTTTTTGTAATTTTTTCCCGCTTTTTCGACGACGATGACAACTCTCTAGTGTCCCTCGGCGATTCACTCCAGCTCCACATTTATCGTGAGAGAGAATTACGATTTCGGTAAAAATTAAAAAAAGGGCAAAAGAGTCAAAGTAAAAAAAATAATTGTGGGCTTTATGTAGAGATTTGTGGGCGATGTTTAACAAATCCCGATTGAGAATTACCATTGCCAGTATTCTTCCAAAAACTTTGAATGGTTAATACATTAGATTTTCGTACATTGCTAATGCTAATTGTTATTAAAAAAAAATTCCATAAGCTACTGAAAACTACAGTATTTATCAAATCCTATCCAGTAGGAGGAGCCAAACTCAACCTCCAAAGAGACCCCTGTAATTTTATTTTATTTTTATTTATTTTTTTGGCTGCTTCGTCAACAGTTCATTAAAAGATTCAGCTATCTGAGTTGGATGCGTCAAGAGTATCTGAAACCTGAGCTTTTGCACTTGGAGTTTTAGAAATGTAGGAGTTTTCTGAAGATACCCTCGGTTATTTGCAAAACTTTTTAACATCATTCCCATTCTGTCCTTGCAAAATAACAGGCGTTAAGTCTTCCCAAGGATCCTCCGCCATGGACTTGTTGTAGAAAGACCGTGCTCAACTATAATCACAGTTTCTTCCCCTTTCTCTTCCACCAGAATATCCTGGACTAGGGCTCATCCTGCTGCCATCCCACCAACCCCTCCCTCTTCCTACGCTAGGGCTAGGACCACCTCCAAGTCCTGGTCCAGCGGCAGGAGGCCTGGGAGGCTGGGACTAATGTTGGACCAGTGACCCCCTTCCTTGCGGAGGAGATCTGAAGTTAGGCCTACCTGCACATTCAATATTCATAACCAACAATGAATAATAAAGATTAATGGAACAATCACAAGTTTATTCTTAATTTTTCGCATTCAATTATTTGGTTTAATGTAGTATTTCTTCTGTTTTAATTTAATTGCACATCTTTCATATGTAATTGCACCACATTCCTTTTTTGGATATTTTAAGATATTTTACACTCAATTCTAACCTCTTAAAAAGACTAGTGATCATATTATGAAATGGATGGAATTAGTTTATGGAAAATAACAATGAAGTACCAAAGCTACCACATCCCCCTGTAATTGAAAAAGCAGCATTATAATATACTGGCTGATTCTTCTTCAACATCTTCATTAAAAGATTCAGCTAAGTAGTCGGCAAGGCTCCCACTCTTCTTCGAGTTGGATGCGTCAAAAGGATTTGAAACCCGAGGTTTTTTTGCACTAGGAGGTTTTTGAAATGTAGGAGTTTTCTGAAAATACCCTCGGTTGTTTGTGAAACTTTTAACATCATTCTCTTTCTCCCCTTGCCAAATAACAGGTGTTAAGGATGCCCAAGGGTCCTCCACCATGGACTTGTTGTAGAAAGACCGTGCTTGACCATAATAATAGCTTCTTCCCCTTCCTCTTCCACCAGAATATCCTGGACTAGGGCTCATCCTACTGCCATCCCACCAACCCCTCCCTCTTCCTACATTAGGGCTAGGACCGCCTCCACGTCCAGGACCCGGGCTGGTAGGCCTGGGACTATTGCTGGACCAGTGACCTCTTCCTTGTGGAGGAGATCTGAAGTTAGGGCTACCTGCACATTCAATATTCAAAGCCAACAATGAGAAAAAATCATTCCTGTGAACAATTACAAGCAACCTTACACTTCATTAATGACCACAAAATACCTTGATACGGAGGATAAGGGCTACCACCACATGTACCAGGAGGACCAGGACTAGGATTATTATTAAACCAGTGACCCCTGCCAGGTGCAGCACCGAAGTTTGGACTACCTGCACATTCAATCTAGCTATAAGGGAACTTGGAAATTCTAAAACTATCCACTGAATAAAGTCAAATCTTTCAAACAACATCCAAAACTGTATTCTAGACTTTAAGGGGGTACCTTGATGCATAAGGTATGGGCTCCTAATTCCCATTGGACTTGAAGTTGGACCGGGCCAGCCGGGGTTATAATAAGGATCTCCACCTTGATACAAACCCTGATGAGCTGCAACATTATGTTGGAATTGAGGGGCACCAGGATGGGGCATTTGAGGATTCCTTGGTCCTGCCAATTCCATGTAAAAATACAATAAATCATTTTCATGCAAAATTCAACTATTCAGCAGAAAGTTAGCTTAATAGCTTAAGAACCAGCAGCAAAATAACAATTGACGGGATTAAATGTCTCAACGGAGATTGTTAGAAGTTCACATGCATAAAACTTTTACCAAAATGTTATGTATAATAGTACAATATTGAGAAATGCTAATTATAGTATTGTACTCCGTAAAATTTTCCCTATACAAAGGCAAGTTCACAATTGTGAACGCAAGTAGTGAAAATCAGAATTTTACTTGTTAAACCAATGAGTTTCAAGTCTTCCAACTACCCATCTAACTCCCATTATCCAACATTGATCGCACCTATGTCTAAAGTATCATTTTAAGAGTAAGTTTCAAGTATTTTATTCATTAGACTAATCTAAATCCCGAGCTTAATTACATTGCCCTTGGCAAAAGTGTTGTAATTTTGTGGATACTATGTTAGATGACCCGCCATGCTTGGCTGAGCAACTAGTTGATGCCTTCGCTAATATAATTTGCAGCGAAAAATCCACTTCCACAGCATACATTCAGCCTTGAAATTACAATCCTTTTTTCTGTATTCTATTCAACTAGAAAGAAAGAACGAAAGAAAGAAAAAAAAAAAAAAAACCTTATTTTAGGGTCTTATAGGCAGGAAGATTGCTTTGTTAGTGTTTTGCTTTTGTCTAGAATCTAGATTGGCATTGATATTGGTATATGAGCAGAGATTTTAGATTCTGTTTTTCAGCAAAAGGCTTGTTAGCATCAAGTGGGTATGATGAATACTCTAAATAGTGTGTAGTTTGGAGGAATGCATTATTCCTTTTTTCAGGCTTTTCCACTGTCAATGTATTAGGTGCCCTGTTTTGAACTTTTCTGATGCACTTTATTTTAAATAAGTACATCACCTTTGTCCTATTGTCCATAACAAGTACATTAATGTAATTCTACCCAAAAAGAAAAGAAAAAAACATAAGCATTACAAATATACTACTTTTTTACAATTTATATTGACATAATTCTACAATTTATATTAAAAATTCGACTCATAATAAAATTATGTTGACATAATTTTACAATTTATATTAAATAGCTACTCGTATTAAAATAAAATAGCATGTAAACTTGTTGAATTTGTCTCAATGTAAACTTTTAAAATTTTAACTTATAAATTTAAATATTTTCAAGCACATTGGAGACCTAACACAAGTCAAGTGAATGGAACTTCCATACATAGAGCGATACTGAAAGTTGCGACAGTTGGTGGCTGTTTGTATCGGTGACAATTTGAGATTGGTGTAGCAGACTTATCGCCATTGTTGCCAGCACCAGCTTACATTGGCTAAAGCAAGCACAATGGATTAAGAATTTGGGGAGCAAGTAGCTAACTAGAAGTCTAGAACAGTAACGAACCTACAGTTCTTACCTACTTGAATCAAAGGACTCAAAATTAAGAAAGATAGTAATTGTTAAACAGAGAGGGGAAATGAATTCATCTCTTTCCTTTTGCTTCCTTTTCCCAGCCTCTTATCCGAATTAGAGAACTTGTTATAGCCCATGATCTAGGCAAATGAACCAAAAACGATGGGTATCTTTACCTATGATTTGCACTATCATAAAGATGCATCTTTAGATCAGTGGAAACTAGGGAACAATAAGTACACATTTTAATCATTCACTCATTTACTCATCAATGAGATCAGAACCATGTTTCAAAAAAAAAAAAAGAAAAATGAGATCAGAACCATCATTGAGAATTAACATTGCCAGTATTCTTCCAAAAACTTTGAATGGTTAATGCATTAGATTTTCGTACATTGCTAATGCTAATTGTTATAAAAATAAAAATAAAAATAAAAGAAAAAAGAGAACATTCCATAAGCTACTGAAAATTACTACAGTATTTATCAAATCCTATCCAGTAGGAGGAGCCAAACTCAACCTCCAAGAGACACCTGTGATTTTATTTTATTTTTATTTTTATTTTTTTTTGGCTGCTTCGTCAACAGTTCATTAAAAGATTCAGCTATCTGAGTTGGATGCGTCAAGCCTGAGCTTTTGCATTTGGAGTTTCAGAAATGTAGGAGTTTTCTGAAGATACCCTCGGTTATTTGCAAAACTTTTAACATCATTCCCATTCTGTCCTTGCAAAATAACAGGCGTCAAGGCTTCCCAAGGATCCTCCACCATGGACTTGTTGTAGAAAGACCGTGCTCGACTACAATCACAGTTTCTTCCCCTTTCTCTTCCACCAGAATATCCTGGACTAGGGCTCATCCTGCTGCCATCCCACCAACCCCTCCCTCTTCCAAGTCCTGGTCCAGCGGCAGGAGGCCTGGGAGGCTGGGACTATTGTTGGACCAGTGACCCCCTTCCTTGCGGAGGAGATCTGAAGTTAGGTCTACCTGCACATTCAATATTCATAACCAACAATGAATAATAAAGATTAATGGAACAATCACAAGTTTATTCTTAATTTTTCACATTCAATTATTTGGTTTAATGTAGTATTTCTTCTGTTTTAATTTAATTGCACATCTTTCATATGTAATTGCACCACATTCCTTTTTTGGATATTTTAAGATATTTTACACTCAATTCTAACCTCTTAAAAAGACTAGTGATCATATTGTGAAATGGATGGAATTAGTTTATGGAAAATAACAATGAAGTACCAAAGCTACCACATCCCCCTGTAATTGAAAAAGCAGCATTATAATATACTGGCTGATTCTTCTTCAACATCTTCATTAAAAGATTCAGCTAAGTAGTCGGCAAGGCTCCCACTCTTCTTCGAGTTGGATGCGTCAAAAGGATTTGAAACCCGAGGTTTTTTTGCACTAGGAGGTTTTTGAAATGTAGGAGTTTTCTGAAAATACCCTCGGTTGTTTGTGAAACTTTTAACATCATTCTCTTTCTCCCCTTGCCAAATAACAGGCGTTAAGGATGCCCAAGGGTCCTCCACCATGGACTTGTTGTAGAAAGACCGTGCTTGACCATTATCATAGCTTCTTCCCCTTCCTCTTCCACCAGAATATCCTGGACTAGGGCTCATCCTAATGCCATCCCACCGACCCCTCCCTCTTCCTACGTTAGGGCTAGGACCGCCTCCACGTCCAGGACCCGGGCTGGGAGGCCTGGGACTATTGCTGGACCAGTGACCTCTTCCTTGTGGAGGAGATCTGATGTTAGGGCTACCTGCACATTCAATATTCATAGCCAACAATGAGAAAAAATCATTCCTGGGAACAATTACAAGCAACCTTACACTTCATCAATGACCACAAAGTACCTTGATACAGAGGATAAGGGCTACCTCCACATGTACCAGGAGGACCAGGACTAGGATTATTATTAAACCAGTGACCCCTGCCAGGTGCAGCACCGAAGTTTGGACTACCTGCACATTCAATCTAGCTATAAGGGAACTTGAAAATTCTAAAACTATCCACTGCATAAAGTCAAATCTTTCAAACAACATCCAAAACTGTATTCTAGACTTTAAGGGGGTACCTTGGTGCATAAGGTATGGGCTCCTAATTCCTATTGGACTTGAAGTTGGACCAGGCCAGCCGGGGTTATAATTAGGATCTCCACCTTGATAAATACCCTGATGAGCTGCAACATTATGTTGGAATTGAGGGGCACCAGGATGGGGCATTTGAGGATTCCTTGGTCCTGTCAATTCCATGTAAAAATACAATAAATCATTTTCATGCAAAAGTCAACAATTCAGCAGAAAGTTAGCTTAATAGCTTAAGAACCAGCAGCAAAATAACAATTTGACGGGATTAAATGTCTCAACAGAGACAAGTAAAGGCAACATTTTGACGGGGATTAGCAAGTGCATGGTCGATGCAAAAGAAACCAACTATATACGAAGTACTTCCTAAGGATTTCGATAACCGTAGTACAACATTTCAGAAAGAACATCCTTTTTTATACAGCTAACTACCCCATGATAAGCATCCTTGATAAGCTACACCCAACATACCAATAACCTATTTCTGCCTTCACTTAAATCAAAAAGGCAGAAAACCATCACTTTGCTTGTAACTTAGGAGGATTATTCGAAGAAAGCAAATACAGACCACCACAGTTTCTAAATTAACAAGTCAATCTCAAAGTAATTCAGGCCTAAGAATATACAACAGTGGGCAAATTAAACAACATTCAACCTTTAAATCACACATTCGCAATGCATCACTATTAAGGAAGGACCCTAATTCAAGATGAATGTGAAAAATAATCGATTAATAATGGAGCTGTACCTGACGATACAGCAATTTCTTAAACCATCACAGTGATTTAGCAATAGATTGTCATCCCTTCTTTTTGCAAGAAGAGACAGTATTGAATTATTACATCAATACAAAAAATAGCAACCCAAAATAGTAACTAGTAAGATAAAATTATAACCCATAATTCATACTCACCAAAATCCCCAATTCATCAACAACATCATAATATCATCAACATTAAAAAACAGCAAACTTGCTAGCATATATACACCAATTTTATATAAAACCCATAATAATACTTAATCAAGTACAATTTCTAACCTTTCCCACATCCCTAATCCCCAATTTCATCAAAACCCAAGTAACCCATTTTAAAAAACTAAAAATTTAATCAAAAAAGATAAAAATTAGACCTTGAGGAGAGGGTGAAACATGGGGTCTAGGAGTGAAAGGCCGCCGTTTATCGGTGGAGTAAGCGGCCATTGGATCGGTATAATAATCAAATCGAGGCGGCGGAGTTACAGCAGCAGCTGCAGCGGCGTCGGAATCTTCATTATTGAGCAATGGTGCTGGTAAAATTGAATTTAGGGTTTGTTGAGGGAAAGATGATGGAACAGCATCAGTTGTTGCTTCTAATCGCATTGCTCTTAATCTCTCTCTTCTCTTCTCTGATTCCTCCATTCTAGAGGGCGATGATGAAATTTTTTGGGAAGTTTTAGGGATTTAGGGAGAAAATTTGGGGGGTTTTTTGAGTTTGGGTTGGTATAGAAGTTTAATTGATTGAGAAATTGAGGGTTTACGGGATCAATTAGGGATGGGGGAGGGAAATAGATTTACAATTTTTTTTTAATTTTTTTTTTAACAATAGAATTTACTATTCATTTAAATTTTTTTACAATATATTTTACAATTTCTTCACAAAAAAATTATCCGTATATAAATAGTGTAAGTACTCTGTAATACAAGTACAGTATATAATAAGATTTTCTCAAAAAAAAATAGAAGTATATAATAAGGGGGGAAATGAAATATTTGACAATAAAAATACTTACTTTCTCCGTTCCTTAATAGATGACATGTTTCTTTTATCATGTTTGTCAACGCACAATTTTCACGAGTTATATCTCTTATTATTAACATTGTAAAATTATAAAAAGTGGATATTAATAAAATATACATTAAGACGATTCAAACAAGATCCCACATGATTATGTTTTATCGTAGCTACAAATCACAAAAGCTAGTTAAAGTGTTGTTTGTGAATAGTGCAAAAGTCAAACTGTGTCATCTAAAAAGGAACGGAGGAAGTATATGTTGAGAAAAATACAAATTGTTTGAAGTTCACATGCATATAATTTATACCGGTTAATGTTATGAATCATAGTACAATATTGAGAAATGCTAATTATAATATTGTACTCCGTAAAACCTTACCTATACAAAGGCAAGTTCACAATTGTGAACGTAAGTAGTGAAAACCAAAATTTTACTTGTTAAACCAATGAGTTTCAAGTCTTCTAACTACCAGTCATAACTCCCATTATCCAACATTGATCGCACCTATGTCTAAAGTATCATTTTAAAAGTAAGTTACAAGTATTTTATTTATTAGTCCAATCTAAATCCCGAGCTTGGATTAGATTGCCCTTGGCAAAAGTCTGACCTAAGTACCTAACCCATTGTTAATTAGATATGATAAAACTAATTATTACTCCGTAGTCAAATTAAACTCTACTAAAAATCACATGATCAAAATTTAACCCGAATCAATGTTAGATCCCCTTGAATTAAATCAATCCAACCCCAAAATAATCCCAAACGACTTTTCACCCCAAACACAACCACATCAAAAAGAGAAAATAACTCGTTCCAAATCCAATCTAAACAACCCGATAGCTCCCTTACAAGTATTTGACCTAACCCCGCATATGCGTTGACCTTCTAGTACATCGATCTAACCAACCATGAACCATCCAATCCCCCACCATCCCTCCAGTCAACATTTTCCAACCCATAAAGCAAACCAAATTTGACTCACCATTTAACAAAATTCCCAATTCCTCTTTCCTTCCCCAAAAAACTCCAATCAAATACCCAATTTCATCATCAATTCCAAATCTCAAACAAAACAAATAAAAGAAACCCCAAAAAAACACAATCTCAAATCTCAAATCGTCAACAATGTCAATGTGGTGGGATATCTCTCTTCAAGCCCTAATCTTCTTGGTAAGCATCCTCACATACCTTTACACCAACAACATCCCCCAAAAACTCATCACACAATACCACTCCTACCGCAACCGTCACAAACACCAAGCTCGCCGTCACTTCGTCAAAGCCGCCGATCACCTCTCCAAATCCAAATACTCCGCCGCCGTTTCCGAATCCGACGCCGCCGTCCTCCTCGACCCCACCGACGCCGCCAATCACATCATCAAAGCACTCGCGCTCGAACTCCAAGGGTTCAAGACCTCCTCGCTTGACGCGCTCAACGTCGCGCTGTCCCCCCTCGCGGTTGCGTCGCTTGATAAGGAGGAGAAGGCGGATGCGATGGTGAAGCGAGCTGGGTTGAGGATGGAGGTGAGTCGACTCAGTCGGGTTGATGAGGGTGGTGTTGATGAGGAGGTTTGGAGGATGGTGGAGAGAGAGTTGAGGGAAGCGGTGGAGTTGAAGAGAGAGAGCGGGAGAGCGTGGTGTTTGTTGGCGGAGTGTTGTGAGGGGTTGGGGAAACGAGAGGAGGCGGTTGTGGCGTTTGAAGAGGCGGTTCGAGTTTCGCCTGACTCGGTTGTGGCTCGGAATGGGTTGGATCGGTTAAAATTAGTTACCGAGTAAATGAAACGTGTCAACTAATATGAAAAGGGGAGTAATTAGTTGAAGTATGATAGATATAAAGTAGAGTAATACGGAGTAATTTATTTATTAATTTTTTTAGGTTGGAAATCTTGTATTAGTTGAGCATTTTGTTTTTTAATTTATTTGTATTGGTGTAATAGTGTAATTTAATGGGTTTTGAGCACATGAAAATGCTTAAAATGTTTATGTAAGATGTAATTGAGGAATATAGAATTGGAAGTAAAAAAAAAATGTAATTTTCTTTTTATAGCTAACCATATAATAAAGGGCCACTTGCTAATTAATTTGGAGTAATTAAAATGGGTGTTATTGTATTACTACTTTTATCAGGTCAATAATTATCCCAACGAGCTGAATTTCAATAGAGGAATATAGAATTGGAAGTAAAATGCAATAGAAATTCTTAAGATGGGTGTTTTTTAATTTATTTGTATGGGTGTAATAGTGTAATTTAATGGGTTTTGAGCACATGAAAATGCTTAAAATGTTTATGGAAGATGTAATTGTGGAATATAGAATTGGAAGTAAAAAAAAAATGTAATTATCTTTTTATAGCTAACCATATAATAAATGGCCACTTGCTAATTAATTTGGAGTATTTAAGATGGGTGTTATTGTATTACTACTTTTATCAGGTCAATAATTATCCCAACGAGCTGAATTTCAATGGAGGAATATAGAATTGGAAGTAAAATGCAATAGAAATTCTCAATGGTATTTATCAGTTTTTTTTTTTCCTCAATAGTAAACACTAAAATATCAAATTATCTTTCGTAATTTATAATTTATAAAACTAATTCAGTGGTAACATTAGTTAAGCATTTTAAAAAAATATTAACCATGGTTAATGTTTTAAAACGGAGGGAAAAGAGAAATGCCCAAAATACCCCTAATTAACAAAAACCCACCACCCCTCTTCCCCCTGCCACCCCTGCCTGCCAAGCCCTAACTCCCCTGCTCTCGGCCGGCATCAGCCGCGCCCACCCAGATCCCCTCCTCGGGGCAGACGCCAGGCTAAACCCCTTCCCTCTTGTTGCCGTGACCCCTAAATCACCCAATCCCCACCCGCAGTCATTTCCTCTCTCTTTTGCGGCGCCGCTAACACCAACACCATCTCATAAACCACCATCTACCCAAAATCTCAAACCTCCTTCCACCAATTTTCGACGCCTTCAGACTTACACCGTCAATCGTCTCTCGCAAACTCCAATCTCGTCGTTAAACCTCTCTGCGGCGAAAAAATTCATTTTTAGGGTTTCGGTTAGGAATTTAAGCTCAACAAAGTTGGAATCTGAATTTATGTGCCAGATTCGAAGGTAATCGGAGGAACTAGCGAGATAATCGGGTTTGGAGCAATCTTTGTCGGGTATGAAGATGGCTTTGGTGGGTGGATAAGGGTGGTCAAAGGAGAGAGAAGGGTCAATGGTGATTTCACCGGTGGAATCGTCGAGTTGAACGAATTCAACGCGGTTTGGGGTTGCTTGTTTCGAGTAGGGGGTTTCATGGGGAGGGGGTGGTCGGAAAGGGGAGGACTAGGAGAGGATTGGTCGGAAAATGGAGTGGAAAGGGAGGGGAAGGGGAAGGTGGACGAAAAAGGAGGGAAGGAGGTGGTCGGATTTAATGGAGGAACGGAAAAAAAGTTAAAAAAAAAATAAGACTAACCCTAGTTAAATATTTTAATCAAAATATATCATTAATACTATTGCTGATATATGAGCTCTTTCCCTAAATATTGTTGGGAAGATTTGCAATTCCTGTCATACCGTCCACGTCGCCGGTTCAGGGGGAAAGAATTTTAAACCGGTTATTTTTAAAAGCCGCTACTTGAAGTAGCGGTGTATTGTGTAAAACCGCTACTTCAGGTAGCGGTTTTCTAATATATAACTGCTACTTGAAGTAGCGGTTTATGTTTAGTGATTTTTTACAAAATCAGTTCTTCGTTGTCTCATTTCGTTATTTTACAAAATCAGTTCACTTCCCACCAAAACAAAAACGCAAAGACTCCTCCCAACGTTCACAACCGGAATCCGCCACGCGACGAGGACCACCGGAATCCGCCGCCGCTATTGCCGGTAAACGCCACAGCGTTCACAAAGGGGGTTGCCGACGCCGGTGTCAGAGCAAGAATCCTCTTTGCTGTTTCGTTATTTGGTAAGTAACTCTTGCCCTAATTTTTTATTTTTTTTATTCAATTGCCGTGAATTTGGTGAATGCTCGTGAATTTGTTGTTGTTTGGTGAGTTTGATTGATTGTGTTGAATCATTTTGTTTTTAGGTTTGGAGTTTTTCTTGTAGTTGTGATATTGAGCTTCTTGTTATAACAGTATACCTGTATAACACACAATGTATATTTTGCAATTGTTCTGGTTCTATATTTTGCAATTGTTCTTGTTATAACTTTGTGATTTTTTTCCATACTTTGTTGCGTAGTCAAATTTATTTATTTGATTTTGACATTTGAAGTTGGACCTTCACTTATATTTCACTGTCAATATTAATTTGAATGAGTTGGACATATCAAGGGAAGAAGGTAAAACTCCAAATGATTAGATGATGAGGTTTGAGAGGTTGGTGCCTTGGTGGAGTATTAATTGCACCATCATAGATAGATAGAACTACTGATAGAAATTAGATGAGGAACCGACCTTCTTGTTTGTCTCTTTTCTTGGCAAAACTGTTTGTTTTCATTTATTTTTCCTATTTTCCTATGAGTAAAAGAGCTTGATTAGGGTTAGTTAAAGAACGATGTATGTGAATGTCATCATATATTTTGCAACACTAATATCTTTGACTAATCATGGTGTTTTCTAGAATGCGTCATTGAGGTACCAAACTACCCTCTATATTGCTATTGGGGTGTAGAAATTATCCACAAAGATAGCGATGTAACATATAGGGGGAGGAATCAAAAATTTGTTTTTGTACATCCTGGGATGACATATTCACAAGTTCTGAATAAGCTGTATGAAGATTTGAGTATTGATCCTAGGTTTGTGGAGTTGAAGGTGGTTATGCGGTATCCTATGGCCGGGGCTTATGTCGCAGTTCCGTTGAATGACGATAATGCTCTTAAGGCTATGTGGATTGCTGTGACCCAAAGTTCTTCTATTGCAATGCAATTGTACATTGAACAGGTTCCAAAGGAGCCAGTTGTGCAAACTAA